CTCTGAGTGAGTTTCCCGTCGGAGCTGACAGCTCCGCGCCACGAGCAAACGAGGACGAAACGAGCTCGCGAGTGCACAGTGACGACATCCGCCTGCACGGGGGATGCCTACGCGCACACAGGGATATGCGCGGTACATCCTCCCAACCAGGCCCAGCCCAACTGCCCGACTCCGCCCCACCATCCTCCTCGGGATCTTCTGGGGGCTCCTGGTCGGGGCCAGCCGCATCCTCAGGGGCATCGCCCTCCACCTCCCCCATGCCGCCGAACAGGCCCGCAAGGTAGACCACCATGAGGTCCTGATGGCCTTGACCGTCGCAGCGGATGTGGGCCTCTGTGTCCCACTCTGCCACCCCTCGCGCACAGACCGACAACCCTCTCCAGAGCTCGTAGAAATTAGCATCGACGCCAGGCACGGCGGCGTCACGCTTCGCCAGCTCATCAACAGTTTTGTTTGCAGCGTGTTTCCACTCAGTGGTGAGACCCGCGTCAATCTCAGCCCTAGTGCAGTGATCGTTCGTCCTGACCGTATGTATGTCCCCGCTTTGGGAAAGGGCCTCAAACTGGCCCCACATCCGTGCTCGCGGATTGCTACTCCCAGTTCCACCACGCTCTCCCTGCCAGACCGTGCCAACAGTTGCAGCACAGTGCGAGCACACATCAAAACGGGGAATGGCAATTTGCGTGAGCATATGAACTGCAAAGCCATCCCCGCCACGAGAGGCCTGCCGAGGCACAACCGACAGCGGGGCGAGGCTGTAAGCCGCCGCGCCATCTGGCCAAACCTGTCTACCTGCACAACTGACCAGCCCGCTCGGGCCGTGTGCGGACAGTCAGCCCACAGGACCGACCCGTCAGTGACACGCAAGGCCGTCAGAAGCCCAAACTCATGTCTGTGCAACCAGTAGGTGGGGACTGCTCGTGCGCGAAGCGCTTCCCGACCTCAGACCCCCCAATTCTTGACCTGGTCAAGGCGGCACGCGCGTAGCACTTGTGCTAGATGGAGTCGTCTGGATCTTCACGTCTTGGACCACCATCCTGACTCAGCGAGCTTCAGCCTGAGATGCGGCCAGTGACCTCCTGAGATAAGAGGCCTGAGGGTGCCCTGGTGCCGCTTGGTCCAGTGCCTCCCCTTTGATACACTATGCAGCATTGGCCCAAGAACGCGCCAACCAAGACGGTTGCCCCACAGCGCCTCAGGCTCACGAGCAGTCAGCGCCTGCTCGGGCAGCCTCCTCTTCCGCCGGCGCCTGGGCCAGGGCGGGTGGAAACACACACACACACATATATTCCCTTTTCTATATTTTTACAATCCGGGGGGGTGGGAAAACCCCCCCCCCCCCCCCGGAAAATCGGACCCCCGGGATCTGGCGCTTTTGGGGCCCCCTGGACGCCTTGCAATGGGTCCCCCGGGCCTTCCGGGCCTCCTGGACGCCCCTGCCGGGCCTTGCCAGCGGGCCCAAAGCGGTCAGGAGGGCGGCCAAACGGCCCCGCGAGAGCCCCACGCGGCCCCAGACAGCCCCAAGACGCCCGAAGACGACCCAAAGAAGACCCCCAAGAGGTCCTCCAAGTGCAAAAAACAACACTTTCCTTTAGTTTTTTATTGAATTTTTGGACATTCGGTTCTTCGGTATTCCGTGCGTCCGAGTCCGCCGAAGAGGCCCCAAAAATCCTCCCACAACGGTGTCAAAGGGCTTCCAGACAGTCCAAAAGAGCTCCAATATGGTCCAACAGGGCCGCAAGATGGCCCCAAGAGAGCCCCGCTGACAGCCCCAGATGGCCCCAAGACGCCTCCCGAAGCACTCCAAATCGTGACCCGGTCGTTCAGGGAGACCGTGGTTGGTAGCAAGGTGGCCGCAAGAAGCCCCCAGAGGCCCCCAAAAGGCGCCCATGAGGCCCCCAGAGGTCCCCAAAAAGCTTTTGAGAGGGGCCCAAGAACACCTCCAAAGAGGAGCCCCTGCAATAAAAACTGGGGATGAGGACAAGGAGTGGCTCGCAGACAAGGAAGATTACGAGTAAGAGGAGAGGAAGTATAAGGATAACACATAACATTACTATAACGACGTTGGCGCAAACGGCAACAATGAATCATCGCTATATTTGGTTATCCTGCATGCCGAGCTTTAAGAACCAAGGTGCATGGCGCGAAGCGCCAATGCAATCTTGTATAAATATATATATATATATGTATGTATATGGCAAGTCCAGCTGCTGACCCGGGTCCGCGGTTAGCAACGTACTCGAGATGACCTTCCACCCGAAACGCTGGCGGCTCAGCACCTTACCCTTTGCAGGAGGAGAGGCAGGGAGATGAGGGGGAGGAGGAGGAGGAGGAGGAGGAGGAGGAGGAGGAGGAGGAGGAGGAGGAGGAGGAGGAGGAGGAGGAGGAGGAGGAGGAGGATGAGGAGGAGGAGGAGGAGGAGGAGGAGGAGGAAGAGGAGGAGGAGGGAGGAGGAGGAGGAGGAGGAGGAGGAGGAGGAGGAGGAGGAGGAGGGAGGAGGAGGAGGCGGCGACGACGACGACGCCCCTGCGGTAGGATCGCGCCGCCCGCTATTTCGCCACTCACGGCATGGCGCAGGAGGCCAAGTTGCTCGGCATGGGCGAGGACGTGCAGAAGGCCGTCACAGGAGGAGGAGGACGAGGGCACGGGTGAGGAGGTGGAGGAGGAGGAGGAGGAGGAAGAGGATGACGAGGAGGATGAGGAGGAGTGGGAGGGAAAGGATAATGACGGGGATGATGATGGTGGCGGTGGTGGTGGCGGTGGTAGTGGTGGTGGTGATGATGATTATGATGGTGATGATGACGTTGATGATGTTGATGCTGCTGACATTTACCATCTTGTTGCTGACGTCGGTCATGAGGATGATTCTGACATATTATGCTGACGATGCTGATGATCATGGCGACGATGGCGATGATTATGATCATGATGCTGATGATGATGTTGATGCTGCTGCTGCTGCTGCTGATGGAGTTTGTGATTATGATGATGCTTGTGATTACGATTATGATTACGATTCTGATTACGGTTGTGATGATGCCGATTCTGTTTATTCTGATTCTTATTATCTAGTGGCCTGCGGTCCATCCCGCCACCGTGCCTGGGTAGTGAGAAAGAGTCCTCAGGGTTGATTCTTTTGGGTCTCTTCGGAAGGCTCTCGGGGGGCTCTTGGTTGAAGTTTTGAGGCCTCTTGGGGGCCTCTCTGACGCCCCTTGGGGCTTCTCGGGGGCCTCTTGGGAACGTCTCGTGGAGGCGACGTAGCGAGGCAGCAGTGGGGCAACGATGGCAAGGGATCGTCGTCGTCGTTGTCGGGGTTGTCCTCGTATTCAAACTCCTGGGCCACTCTGCTGGCCGATACCGTGGCATTGCCGCCGCTTGCATGCGCGCTCGATGCGTTTGTGTAGCAGCATCGATGATGCATCCTGTGTTCCCTCTGGTCCTTCTTCCTCCTCGTCCTCCTCGTCCTCCTCCTCCTCCTCCTCCACCACTTTGCAAGATTTTGTGGTTGATTTTCCGTCGAGTGTCGATCTTTGGATGTTCTTCCTCGCTTTCAGCTCCAGGGCCCACTTTTGGACCTGGGGCCGTCGACAAGCGACCCGGGACGAGCAGCCAGACCTCTCTCCCTCATGCCAGTCGGCGGCGGGCTCAGGGGGAGAGTGCGAGTGGGCGGGCGTCTCAGAAAGCTCAGAGAGCCTTCTGCTCAGGCGATCGCACACATGGACCAAGGGGGCGTGGATCCGCGACGGGTCCCGCTTCCATGCGGAATCGCGGATTTCCGCCGCCGAATCAGGCGGCACCGGCCGCATTTGGGGGAGGGCACCTCCCCCGATCCATGTCTGCGCGCCCCCGAAGCGAGCCTTCGGCCTTCCAAGGAGACGTCTCAGCTTGCTCGGAAGCCGCAGGGGGCTTCTTGGAAGGCTGGAGAGCCGGAGGGCTTCTGAGAGAGCGTGCTCTCTCTTAACGGGAGGCTCGCTTCGGTTTCTGGGGAGCCTCCTGGAGTTCCCTCGGGGTCTCGAGGGCGCCTGCTGGCAGTCTTGGGAGTCCTCTTGAGGCGGGGGGCGCGACATGTCAGTTCGTGTTCCTCCTCTGGGGCTCCCCTTGGAGCCCTCTTGGGCGCCTGCAGGGTCGTGTTGTGGCCCTCTTGGGACTCCTGAGGCCCTTCCCGGCGGCTCTCGGGCCGCATTGGGGCGATCGTGGAGGCGGGCCGACTTGGACGCTGCGACGACCAAGAAGGCGACAATGCCCCAAATGCACGTGCTCCGACGGGATCGGGACGACTTTTTTGCTCCTTGGGGGCTTCCTCGGAGGCTCCTCTTGGCGCTCCCCTGAGGCGTGTGGGGGACCCTTGGAGGCGCCATGAGGCTATCTGGGGCATCTTTGGAGCGCCCGTCGGCCGTCCCGGCGGCTTCTGTCGGAGGGCACCAACTATACACCAACACCGATCCTGGCCCAGGATCACCCTGGGCCCAGGATCGGTGTATATGCCTTCTTGCGCAAGGCAGGAGGGCGTATACGCCCATCCTGGGCCCAGGGCGATCCTGGGCCCAGCATCGGTGCTGGTGTATAGCTGGTGCCCTCCTATTCTTGGACCCTCCTGGGGCCCTTTTGTGCGGCCCCCTGCGCCCCTTTCGGGGCGGGGCCACCGCCCCAGAGGTCCGCGCGACACCGCCGCGGCAACGCCCGAGAGCGCCCCAGGAGAGGGCCCGGCGGCGCGGCGGGGAGCCCCGAGGGGTCCGGGCCCCCTGGAACCTCTTCGGGCTGAAGGAGCCTCGGGGCACTCCACGACGTGCTGGAAGGCACGCTGGCGGATTCCAGCTGCTTGCGCCGCTTCGCCGACCCCCAGACCGAGGTATGCCGCCAACGGGCGAGGCAGTCTGGGGCCTCTTGGGGACCCTCTGGGGGCCTCTCTTTTGGGCCTCTTGGGGGCCTCTTCGGGCCTCTTGGGAGCTTCTTGGGCGCCTGCTGGCGGTATCGGTGGTCCTCGTGGGGCGGAGGACTCGGCATGTCAGTTCGAGTTACCTCTCTCGGGCCCCTCCTGGGACGTTGTTTGGGCTCTCTTGGGCCATCTTGGGCGCCTCTTGGGCCGCCTTTGGGGCCTCTTCGGCCGTCTGGGAGCCCTCTTGGGGGCCTCTTGGGTCGTCTTGCAGCGATCATGGGGGTCTCTTGAGCCTATTGGACTCTGTTTAGACCAATGGTGGCTTGTGGGCCGAATCCTCCACGCATTCTCGAAGGTGAGTGCGGCGACCCGTCCCGAGGTCCATGTCCCGAGGTCCATGTCCCTCGACGCCGGGGACATCGTTTCTTTCGCGGTTCCCGAGGGGCCTGCCCCCAAAGCCGGGCGGTGCTATCCCCGATGTGAGCTGTTTTTTTTGTTTGCGGCCTGCCTGGAGCAGGGCCCCCGCATGTAATATATTGTAGTGGCCTCCGGCCAGTGCCGCCGATCCGGGGCGCTCCTGATGCCATTGTTGTTGAAATGGACGATGACGACGACAACGGGCGACCAACGGTCGACGAGCGGGATAATTACGACGACGACCGACGAAGGAGTTAATGACGACGCACCGACGACGACGACGACGACGACGACGACGACGACGACGACGACGACGACGACGACGACGACGACGACGACGACGACGACGACGACGACGACGACGACGACTGACGGCGAACGGCTGCCGACGGCCGACGACCGACGACTGGTGACGGCGACGGGTGGAAGGTTCTTCGTTCATCGCTTTCGCTTCCGAGCAATACCAAGTCAGGCCGTGCACCTCTGGCCTGGCAGCACGCGAGTGAGCGCCTCTTGGGGCCTCTTGGTTCTTGGGGCTTCTTGGGGGCCTTTGGGGCCTCTTGGGGGCCTCTTGGGGGCCTCTTGGGGGCCTCTGATGGCCCCTTGGGGGCGCCTCGGGGACATCTTGGGGGCTCTTGGGGTCATCTTGGGGTGGAGGACTAGAAGGTTCTGTTCGGGTTCACCCTCTTGAGGCCATCTTGGGGGCCTCTCGGGGTCGTCTGGGGGCCCTCTTGGACCGTCTTGGCTCCTTGGGCTGTCTTGCCGCGATCTTGGGGGCCTCTTGGACCGTCTTCGGCGCTTCTAAGACGGAAAAGGCGATAATGTTAAAATGCATCAAAACCTATTAGCAACTTTATTATTGTACCCTCTTGGGGCCCTCTTGGGGGTCCTCTTGGGATCTCCTTGAGGCGTCTTGGAGGCCTCTTGGGCCGTCTTTAGGCCATCTTGGGCGTCCAGGAGCGCTCTTGGGCCGTTTCGGGCGCCTCCTGGACCGTCTTGGTGGCCTCCTGGGCCCCTTTTGGCCCGTCTTGGGGCGGTTTGGGATTCCCGGGGGGGGGGGGGAAACGAAAGCGTGGACCCGATGACCCCCCCCCCCCCCCCCTACCCCGGCAGAGCCCCCCGGCCCCCCCCAGCCGAGCTGAAGCTCAGGTTGTAGCTGCCCCTTTTGGCCCGTCTTGGGGCGGTTTGGGATTCCCGGGGTGGGTGGGAACGAAAGCGTGGACCCGATGACCCCCCCCCCCTCCCCGGCAGAGCCCCCCGGCCCCCCCCCCAGCAGAGCTGAAGCTCAGGTTGTAGCTTTCTTAAACTCACACGCCGGATCGACGGACTTAAGGGTTCGAATCCTCCCCCCTCTCTCCTCGTCCTCCTCCTCCTCCTCCTCCTCCTCCTCGTCCTCCTCCTCCTCCTCCTCCTCCTCCTCCTCCTCCTCGCGCTTCTGTCGCCGCTCTTCCGTCGTCGGTGCTCGCCGCCCGCGCAGCCATTGGTCGTCGGCCGTCGTTGCCACAAACGTCTCCGCCGTCGCCGTCGTCGCCATCGTTTTTCGTTCTCGATTTCTTGTGTTCGTCACCGCCGCCGCCGCCGTCGTCGCCCTTGTCGTCGTCGTCGTCGTCGTCGTCGTCGTCGTCGTCGTCGTCGTCGTAGCCGCTGCCGTCGCCGTCGCCGTCGCCGTCGCCGCTGTCTTAGTATTCTCCCTCCCCCATCCTCTTATTGTTTTTCCTCCTCTTACCTCGTCGTCCTCTTCTTCTCCTCTTCGCATCCTCCCGCCTGCCCTCCTCCTCCGCTTCCTCCTCCTTAGTTTTTGCCTTTCTAAAGATAACGGCTACCGCCTGGTGTTCCAGTGAACGCTGTTACGCTACCCTGATGAGGGGAATTCGATGAGTGATTGGCTCGTGGATGGGCTGGGAGATTTTTTGTCGCAACCGCAGGCGAAGGCGCCGGCGGCGTCACAGGTCGGCTCGGGCTACGAGCAGAACTAATTGACCTAGCGCGCGCACAGGCAACTGCAGGGCTACCGCCGGGGGACGCTGGGCTGCGCCGAGGGCTGAGGCGGCAAGAGCTGCTGGGGGCTGCCAGATGTCCGGGCAAACGTGCGAGCTGGGAGAGATATTTTTTTTGATTCGCGGCCCGCAAGGAGAAGTCCAGAGGGCGGTGTAACCGAGGCTGGGGCACAGCGACAGGTCATTGGCGCGACACTAGCAGAGTGCACCGGCAGATAATTAAAAAAGACGACCACGGTTCAGCCCGCGGGTGGAAGCGAACCGAACGCGAGCCCAGCCGCTGAGCATGTGTCAGCAGAAGATGGCAACCGCGGTGGGGAGAGCTGAAGCCCAGGTGCCACCACGCGGACCCCGAAAGTCGCTGAGCTGGGAGAGATGCGCGAAGCGCCAAGAATTGAGGGGGGAAGGGGGCAAGATAAGCAGGGGGAGAGGAGGGAGGGGAGGTTCTTGGCATGGCAGGAGATAGGGGAATGCGCGGCGGACGTGGGGCGACGTTCGCCGGCAGGATGGTCGAGGGACAGGAAGAGGGAAAGCAGGATCCCCACCCGGCGGCTACACATATCCACCATCCCTGGGGCCCGGGCCGCCTTGGGCCCCAGGGCGGTGCACGCCGCCTCCTGGCCTCGACTGGGGACGGTCCCTCGAGAACCAGCCCCAGTCCGACGGTGGTCGTGGGCAGGGGACGGCGGCGGTGCACCGCCTGCCACCAGGTGGAGGCGAGAGAGAAAAAAAAACCCTGAGGGAGAGGAGGGGGGGGTAGGCCGCCGTTCTCGTCGTCGTCGCCGTCGTCGTCGCCGTCGCCGTCGCCGTCGTCGTCGTCGTCGTCGTCGTCGTCGTCGTCGTCGTCGTCGCCGCTCTTCTCGTCGTCGTGTTCGCGCCATTCTTGTCGTCGTCGTCGTCGTCGTCGTCGTCGTCGTCGTCGTCGTCGTCGTCGTCGTCGTCGTCGTCGTCGTCGCCCGCGCACCCTCTGGCGAGGTCGGTGCCATGTCGTCAGCTTCCACTCCCACGCTTGTGCGCTCGGCGCCCCACGCGGCGGCGCCGGATGGCAGCAGGGCGCAGGCGCAGGAGACGTCGACGACGACGACGACGGCGACGACGACAAAAACGTTGACGTCGGCGGCGCTGTTGAGCCCCGACGACGACGACGGCGACGATAGCGAAGGCGTCGACGCTGGCGACGACGACGACGACGAGGACGACGACGACGAGGACGACGACGTCGGCGACGACGACGACGACGATGACGACGACGACGACGACGACGGCGGCGGCGGCAGTGATGTCGCTGACGGCGGCGGCGGCGGCAGCTTGACGAAGGCGGTGGCGGCGACGAATACAACGACGAGCTGTCCGAGGCGGGCACTCGCCGTGGGAGGGTGTTCTGTGGCCTGTCGTTCTCGAGGGGGGAGGGGAGCGGCGACAGCCGTCTGCCCCGCCCTTAGGCCTCCGTCGGGTGCTCGGGCGTCTGCTGGCGAGGTCGGGTGTCTAGCGCCCCGCCGCCGCGCGCCCGTCGTCTCGGCCCCTCGGTTCTCGCCTGCTCCGTCTTTCGTCCTTCCTCCTCTTCCCCGTCCTCCTCCTCCTCCTCCTCCTCCTCCTCGTCCTCCTCCTCCTCCTCCTCCTCCTCCTCCTCTCCTCCTCTTACTTCAGGAAGAACCTCGCAATGTGGGTGCAGTACCTTCCTTTTTGCTGGGCGCTGCATGTATCATCGGCCTCGCCTTCGGCATCTTCTCGGTGTTCGAGTTGCCCATGGGTGGCATTCAATGGGTGGCATTCAATGGGTGACTATCCGTGGAGTTCACAATCCTCCTCCTCCTCCTCCTCCTCCTCCTCCTCCTCCTCTTCCTCGTCCTCCTCTGTGGGCCACTTTTCCCGGGGCCTGCTCCAAAAGGCAGCCTGTCGGGCACGCGGTGGCGGAAGCGGCATGCGCGTCGTGGCGCTGCCCGCCGCTGCCCGAGCCGCCGCCCTCGGGGCGGCTTCGACAGGAGGGCGTCCCGGGACTGCGGCGGGGCCCAGGGACAGCCACGCTGCGGGACGCCCCTTGTGGAGCCGCCGGGGCCGCCATGTCCGCGGGCGGCGAGGAGCATGAGGGGGATGGAAAACATGATGGCGGTGGTGATGATGTTGATGGTCATGATGTTGATGCTACGGTGATGACGATCGTTATGTTGATAGTGACGATGATGGTGATGGTGATGATTCTGCTGTTGCTGATGGTGAAGGTGGCGATGAGCATACTGATGGTGATGGTGGTGGTGCTGGTGATTATGATGGTGATACTGAGGATAGTGAGTCTGATAGTGATGCCTATGATGTTGCTGATGATGGTGATGATGCTGATGACGCTGCTGCTTCTGATCATCATGCTGATTATGGTCATGATGGTGATGATGGTGATGCTGGTGATGGTGGTGTTGATGATGATGCTGATGATGATGCTGATGATGATGCTGATGATGATGATGATGATGATGAAAATGATGATGATGATGATGATGATGATGATGATGATGATGATGATGATGATGATGATGATGATGATGATGATGATGATGATGATGATGATGATGATGATCAGGCGGGGAGGAGGAGGACGGCGACGGCGTCGGCGACGGCGACAGCGTCGGGGTCGACGATGACGTCGCCGCCCTCGTCGCAGAGCGGAGGACTACCATCGTCGGTGGGGTGCCGTCGACGCTCTGCGCCACCGCAGGCTCCGCGCCTCGGGGCTCGGGAGGGGAGGGGGCGAGCTCTGAGGTTCCAGCATTGGGGTTCGACGATCCCCTCTTCGAGGATCGAGGTTCGAGGATTGAGGTTCGAGGTTCGAGGATCGAGGTTCGTTCGAGGATGAAGGTTGGAAGTGGAAAGGGGGTAGGTTCGAGGTTGGTGTTCGAGGATTGAAGTGTGAAGTTCGAGGTTGGACAGGGAAGGTTGGAGTTTGGACGTTCGAGCCATGTTTTTTAGGTCCTTACCTTTCTTCTCCAGGAGGCGTCTCGTTGCCACGGCTCGGTCCGCCTCGCACATGCGCACCTTAGGAGAGTTGGTCTGCTTGACTCTTGATGTATAGGTATGTGTCTGGTTCAGTTCTTCCTCCTCCTCCTCCTCCTCGTCCTCCTCCTCCCCTTCATCCTCCTGCCTTGATCAGCCGGCGCTGCGTTCCACTCATTTTCCATCTGTGACTGTTGGAGCTTGCTTTCTCTTCCCACGCGCCAGTCTGCGCATGGTTTTTGAACGAGGGAGCATCTGTATTTGAGCGATCCCGATGACCTTCGGTGAAACTTTAGGGCCTTCAGGCCAGCGCTTTGCCGCTTGGGCCCCCCCGTGCATGGGTGGCGCTGTGCCGCTTACGTACGCCACCTCGGGAGGTCCTGGGCATTTCGACTTTGGGCCCCGCGGAGCGGCAAAGTGAAGGCGTCAAGAGTTTGTGAAGTCTCATGAGGTTCGGACAAAAGTGCCTCAACACGGCTTCCAGTCGCCGAGTCTAGCCCAATATTCCCGGCGCATTTTGTTTATGCCGCCAGACGGCTGGGTTCTCCTCAAAGTCCACTCCCAAAATGCGCTCTGGCCAGACCAGACTCTCACAGAGAATCCAGCCGTGGCGACGGGGGCCCCTCAGGAGGTGGAACAAGTATGAACAACGCCTCACTCCCGCGTCGCTTCTGCTCCAGACGTGCCGTTTCAGCTCCAGCCGTGTCGAGGGATGTTCATCCTGACGCCGAGGAGGAGGGGGAGGAGGACGAGGAGGAGGTGATGGGGAGCTGGTTGCGATCGTGCTGGTGATAATGGTTATCATGGACATAGTGGCGATGATGACGGAGGAGGAGGAGGAGGAAGATGTGATTAGGGGTTGGTGGCGATTGTGATGATGATAATGGCGACCGTTGCAATCGTGACGATGACTGATGATGCTGATGATGACGATGCTGCTGCTGCTGCTGCTGATGATGATGATGACGCTAATGATGATGATGATGATGATGATGATGATGATGATGATGATGATGATGATGATGATGATGATGGTGCATGGGGATGATGGTCATGAGGATGCGGCTGCTGCTGCTGACGATGATGCTGATGGTAATGCTGCTGCTGATAGTGATGGTGATTAGGATGATGACGATGCTGCTTCTGATGATGCTGCTGATGATGGTGATGATGATGAGGATGATGCTGATGATCACCGTGATGATGACGATGATGATGATGATTATGATGATGAGGATGATGATAGGGATGATGATGAAGACGATGCCGATGCTGATAATGATGTTGACTGATGATGATGAGGATGATGATGATGGTGAGGATGGTGGTGGATCTGATGATCTTGGTGATGCTGATGATGCTGATGGTGACGATGCTGACGATGTTGATGTTGTTGCTGTTGATGATGTCAGTCTGATGATGATTATTATTCTGATGACGAGTATGATGATGATGCTTCTGATGATGCTGATGGTGATGATGCTGATGATGATGGTGGTGGCGGTGGTGGTGCGGATGAATGCGAGGGTGACGGATATTATGATGAGGCGGTTCATGATAGTGATCACATTTTTGATACCAATGTTATGATGATAGCGATGATGACGATGCTGCTGCTGCTGATGATGATGATGAGGGTAATGAAGAGACTGACGATGATGATGATGCTGATGCTGCTGCTGCTGCTGATGATGATGATGATGATGATGATGATGATGGTGCTGATGCTGACGCTGTTGCTGCTGATGCTTATGATGCTGATGTTGCTGCTGATGATGATAGTCATGATGATCATGATGATCATGATGCTGATGGTGATGATGTTGATGATGATGTTGTTGCTGTTGATGATGATGATGATGATGATGATGATGATGAAGATGCTGATGATCACGATGCTGCTGATGCGGATGATGATGATGATGATGATGATGATGATGATGATGATGCTGATGATGATGCTGATGCTGATGCTTATGGTGACGACAAGGACGATTTCGATAATGACGATGCTGATGATGATGCTGCTGATAATGATGATCATGGTAATGATGACAACGATACTGATGATGATGATGCCTGTGCTGTTACTGCTACTGATCATTGTTATGCCGATGCTGATGCTGCTGATGAGGATGATGCGGATGTGGATGCGGATGCTGATGCTGCTGCTGATGCTGCTGATTATGCTGATGATGCAGAGGATGATGATGATGCTGATGATGTTGATGCTTATGCTGATGGCGATGCTGCGGCTGATGATGACGCTGATGGCGATGATGCTGATGATGCTGCTGCTGATGATGATGATGACACTGCTGCTGCTGATGATGCTCACAGTGATGATAAACGGTGATACTGCTGACGCTGATGCTGATGCTGCTGCTGATGCTGCTGATGATGATGATGCTGCTGCTGATGCTGCTGCTGCTGATGCTCAGGATGATGCTGGAGATGCCGACGATGCTACTACTCATGATGATGCTCTCTATAGCGATTTAACATGACGACGGCGATGATACTGATGATGCGATGATGCTGCTGGTGTCGATGCTGATGACGAGGATGGGGAGGCGGCGTATGATGATCAGACGGAGGAGGAGGAGGAGGAGGAGGAGGAGTAGAAGGACGAGGAGGAGGAGGAGTAGGAGGAGGATGCGAAAGAGATGGAGGAGGAGGAAGATGAGGAGGAGGAGGAGGAGGAGAGGGACCGCGGGAGGAGAGACAGATGAGCGAGGACGGACGAGGAGGAGGAGAAGGAGGAGGAGGAGGATAAGAAGGAGGAGGAGGAGAACTGCGGAGGAGGAATAGGATGAGGAGGAGGAGGAGGAGGAGGACGAGAAGGAGGATGAGGCGGAGGATGAGGAGGAGGAGGAGGAACATGATGATTCTGATAATGCTGATGATGATGAGGATGAGGATGATGATGATGATGATGATGATGATGATGCTGGTGCTGATGATGATGGTGATGCTGGTGATGCTGATGATGCTGACGATGGTCATGATGGTGGTGGTGGTGGTGATGCTGATGCTGATGATGATGATGATGTTGGTGATGATGGTGGTGATGACGATGATGGTGATCATGATGATGATATTGATGATGATGCTGATGACGATGCTGATTATGATGATGCTGATAATGTTGTTGCGTATGATGATGATGATGATGATGATGATGATGATGATGATGATGATCATGGTGATCATGATGCTGATGATGATGCCGATGCTGATGCTGCTGATGAGGATGATGATGATTCTGATGCTGGCGATGACGATTCTGCTGCTGATGATGATGATGGTGATGGTGATGATGATGACGATGATGATGACACTGGTTGTGATAATGATGAGGATGCTGATAATGATGATGCTGATGGTGATGATGATGCTGATGATGATGATGCTGCTGCTGTCGACGACGACGACGACGATGATGATGATGATGATGACGATTCTGATGATGATGATGATGATGATGATGATGATGATGATGCTGATGATGATGATGATGATGCTGCTGCTGCTGATGATGATGATGATGATGATGATGACGGTGATGATGATCATGATGGAGATGCTGATGGTTATGATGATGATGCTGTTGATGATGATGATGATGATGATGCTGATGCTGATGCTGATGCTGATGCTGATGCTGCTGATGATGATGCTGCTGCTGCTGATGATGATGATGATGATGATGATGATGATGATGATGATGATGATGATGATGATGATGATGATGATGATGATGATGATGATGATGATGATGATGATGATGATGATGATGATGCATGATGATGATGATGATGATGATGATGATGATGATGATGATGATGATGATGATGATGATGATGATGATGATGATGATGATGATGATGAGGAGAGGAGAGAGGAGGAGGAGGAGGAGGAGGAGGAGAGAGGAGGAGGAGGAGGAGGAGGAGAGGCGGAGGAGGAGGAGGAGGAGGAGGAGGAGGAGGAGGAGGAGGAGGAGGAGGAGGAGGAGAGGAGGAGGAGGAGGAGGAGGAGGAGGAGGAGGAGGAGGAGAGGAGGGAGAGGAGGAGGAGGAGGAGGAGGAGGAGGAGGAGGAGAGGAGGCGGGATGAGGAGGAGGAGGAGAGAGGAGGAGGAGGAGGAGGAGGAGGAGGAGGAGGAGGAGGAGGGAGGAGAGGAGGAGGAGGAGGAGGAGGAGGAGGAGGAGGTGGAGGACCTGTCTAAGCCCAAGACGCGTCAACGAGGTTGCAATCACTGTTCCCTCCAGCTTCCCTTTCGAAAGGTTCCTCCCTGTTTTTTATTTGCGGGACGTGTCACTTTGAATGACAACATTCTGAGGTTCACTAATCGTGCTTGCTTTTGCCTGCGAGTTATTTGCCCATGTTGCGCTGCTGGGCGGTAGTAGTTCCTGTGTGGGTCTCTCTGGGGGGCTTGTTGTGGGGCCGCCGCTGGCCGTTATTGTATTACATGTTGGTGTGCTCGTGGCGAGAAGGAGGAGGAGGAGGAGAAGGAGGGGAGGAGGAGGACAAGGATGAGGCCTCTCGATGGCTTCTTGAGGCATTTTGGGCCAGACTTGGTCGTGGACAAGACGCCTCTTTGCGAGGCGTCTTTGGGTCCTTGGGAGGCCTCTCGGGGTCCTCTTGGCGGTACTTTTGTGACCTCCTGGGGCCTGACGGGGGCCTCTTAGGGCCTCTTCGGGTCCTGCTGTGGTCGTGGACGAGAC